CTGAATGGAGACCTCTCCATCCTTTTTTGACGGGTACTGTTCCCTTGTGGCCTCTGTGACCTCCTCTCGCCTATTTCTAGGTAGGGTATCACTCTGAGGCCTCTGCAATGGTTCTTAAGGTCTTGCCATAGGAGGTAAATCTTGGGGGCCTATTTCTTAGCATGTTAAGGCCAATTTTGTCGAAGACACTGTCAGACCTTTGAGATCTTCATTCACGTTTGTACTGTGGAGGAAAATTATCTTCTCCATTAAGCAGGTCATTGGCATGTCGTCCGATGCATAGTTTGACGATACATCAGCTTCTACCTCCCTTTCACCGTGTTAGTACCTATAACTACTGGAATGTGCCTTGTGACTCAGCACTTCCTCCTCTTTTTGTTGGTTCAAGAGACCTTGTCGATGCACATTTTTCAGGCATTGATAGCCTTTTTACTCGTGGATTTGCATGAGGAGCTGCTTTGTGGCAGCGTTTTGTTCTGTGATACTTCGCATATTCACTGCCATTTTTGCTACCTCTCTAGTGAGGCATGCAGCAACCTTCCCACCTTGTCGATGATGGTGGTAAGGTCGAAGGTATGTGGCATTGGCTCGGATAACCTCTTCTTCAAAGGTTTATCTTGCCCTTCTTGGATTTGTGTCTCCTTTGTTATCACTAATGATGATATAGATATTCCTTTTCTTCAAATGAAGAACATTCTAAGCAGATTATTATTTCCCAATACTCATTTTTTTTCAAGGAAATCAAACGCCCAAATCAATGACTCATCTAGAAATCTCTTCTTCCTCGAAACTTCTACTTGTTTTTCAAGGTAGAAGTTGTGCCTTTACAACAAACTTTGTCCACAAGGTAATTGTAGTTATGGTATGGTTTTCCATAAACGGTGCCAATTTATTGACCTCGATTTTTGTCAACGTGGTCAATAGTTCCCAATTACACTCACTGTCACGTAAGCCTTCTTTCTACACACTTGGACAAACCATTAGTCACCCATGGCCTTCTCGAGTGTTGGGAAGGCGATCGGAAGCATTTTGACAGTCAAATCAGTTGACAAAATCAATATATTGAGTGTGGGACATGTTAAAGATGTGAGCTACAAAATGTGTCTGTATGTCGAGAATAAACTAACGAGGGAGGCAGATTTGATGTATTTAGTAATTTTTCATTATTAAGCAGTCATGGGTTAAATATTTTTGTTTAATTAATGAAGCTTCGGTTTTGTCATAAAATGAAATTAGAAAGGAAAATAAAATTATTTTTCTTCATGGAAGAACACAAAAGCCATCGACGAAAAGCTACGGTAACAATAAATTATTTTATGTAATAAATATATTAAAACCCCGTTTACGTAATTTTACTTAAGACTTTTTAAGTAAATAAAAAAATACTTAAAATTGTGGTTTAATTAAAAAAATTCGTAGTGATAATATAATTGTCCATAGGACTTTTAACATATAAACAAAGTGGACTATAGGGCTTCTTAAAACTTTTAATATTAATGCATGCCTTTTAACCAAATTACCCCATTCATAATTAAGAATGCCAATAAATAAGTAGAAAAATAATTTTCACATATTTAATCATATAAACATCTTATCATTGCATTTTATATTTATTTTAAGATAAATATTACATGATTATCCAAGTACACACTTTCTAACAGATAAAGAAAAAACTAAATTACAATCCATCTCAATAGATATTTTAGAATTTGAAAAATAGTGCAACAATCTCTGTATAAACTATGTAATTATTAATAAATGCCATAATGATTGATGATAAATAATCCCCACGTAGAGCATA